GGGCACTATTGTTGAAAGTGGAATCTCCCTGGTGAGAAACTGGATTGAAATTGTACCAATCTTCTGCATTACTTGCCTTTTTCCTTCCATTAAGTTACACCATTTTCCTCCATTGCTTAAATTGAGTAACCAACTTCCTCCCATTTCTGTCCCTCTCAATACTAGCATGTCCTTGTGTGAACATGTTGCTAGCTTCTTTAGGTGCTGTGGAGGTGGTGACTTGTGCAGTCTGATATTGGGGAGGTATAGAAATAGGTGGACTGCTGAGCAATGATAGCAGTGAACTTGGAGCTAATAGGACTGGAGCCAGGAATAGGAAGCAGGACAGGATGGGGAAGACAGGTAGAACCAGAGAAGTTCAGAGGCAGAGAAAGACATGGAGAGCAGCTGGAACCCTCATTGGAAAAAGCAGGTGAACTTCAGTTTAGTAGAGGAGTCTTTTCTGGGAAGGCTGAAAAACTGGTTTTCAGTGGAACTTGACGAATTTTCTGGAAAAAATAAACAGTTCCCAAGTGCCGTTGTTTTGTAAGAATTAAAGAATTGTAAGCACCAGCCAGAGCCAAGGATGAGAGGGCGAAGCCAATATGAGTGTACATTGGGAACACTGGACTCTGAAACTTGCCTGCATAAGTGATTTATGGGACTTTTTTCCTACATACTATTTAATGATTCATTAAATATCTCTGGGTTTATCAGGCACACAGTAATTACTGTTCCAAAGTAGTGCTAACAGAGAGACAAAGACCTTGAGTTTGTGTTTTGAGATGTCTTACATTGTAGGAAGTAGATCTTATCGACCATCTGGTGGCATCAGCACAAAGCCATTTGGGTAACTCTGTGTGCCATGAGATCATATGACAGAGCTACGGCCTACAAAATCCCCTGTGAGGCTTGGTCTCTATTGAGTGTGAGGTGGAAAGTGCATTGAAAAAGGAGTTAGGAGACCTGTGTTCTCAGCAGTAAGCTTGTCAGAACTTTTATCCCTCCATTTCTTAATCTGTAAAATGGGGTTGAAAAACATGGTACTGCTGATCATATGAAATAATACTTATGCAAATGAACTCCAGGAAATGGAAATGAGTTTTTTCTTTTTTTTTCCTTTTCTTTTTTCTTGTTTGTTGATTTATATGTGTTTGGGATGGTAAATGGCGGGGACACAGAAATGGAAGGACAAAGGATGACCATGCAGTAGTTATACTAGACAGTACGTTGAAAATGAATTATATAACTTGTGGCTGGTGACAGAAGAGGAAAAACTAAGAGAGAGAAAGGGAAGGTGTGACATTGTACAAAAAGAATTGTAGTCTTTACCTGACTTATGTATTTAAAACCCTTATGTATATCACCTTTATAATATTAATAAAAAAGAATGATAGAAGGGGAAAAATCTGATGACTGCCCACCTACCAGCTGATGAGCAAGTGGTTATTATAGCATCTTCAGAGACTGAACTGGGAAGAGTTTAGTGAGACTATGAAGGCCAGTTGGTGCTGGGATATGCTGAGATACATTCTCAGCTTCCCTGTCTCTTCCTCTCCTCCTCTCTTCCTCTCTTTGCAGCTCTAGGGGTAGTTTAGATGTCTACCATTCTAAAACACATGCTACCCAAATTTGGAGCTATTTTGAAGTCACTCAAGAAAGAAAGCAGGGGTAGTCAAACCAAGGCTAGGTGCCCCGTAGTCTTTAAATTAAAATGTAAGTTTAGAGGTTCCCTTAGCTAATAGATAGATGTGGCCTCACTAGGATTCAATATTAGAAATCTTTGAAGTTCCTAGTAGAGGCTATGAGTTCACTGGGAATGGAATATAATGAATTTGGGGTTCTCTTTCAGAGCTACTCTACAGTATCTAATTTAAAAATTGCAAAAGGTAGTCTCTTGGTTATGGAAGGAGACCGACAAGATGAGAAAGGCTACAGTGGTGATTACAAGGACTTGGCCACATGCATATTACTGTGGGAAAAATTCATTTAGACTCAACATTGGATTAGGACTTGTACATGGTTTTGCACATATGTAATCCTAGCTACTCTGGAAGCAGAAGCAGGAGGATTTTGAGTTCAAGGCCAGCTTGGGTAAAATTCTCAAAACCTTACCTCCAAAACAAAATTTAAATAAAATGGCTAAGAGTGTGGCTCAAGTGACAGAAAGACTTGAAGTGGAAGGCCCTGGGTTCATGTCTTAGTATATGAATTTGGAAAAAAAAAGATTTTTGGGAGTGGAGATGTGGCTTAACTGGTAGAACACCAGCCTTGAAGGGAAAAAAGCCAAGCCAGGAAAAGAGAATTTGAATTCAAGCCCTAGCACTGGCATAAAATAATGACAATGATTATGATAATAATAATAATGACTAGATTAGTTATTGCAGAAGAAATTATTCTATGAGTGATGGAGAATGATATGAGAGCTGAGTATGTTACAAGTGGGGGCTTCTTTCCTGTATTAGGTTCCTGGATGTAACAATCAGCCAAATGGAGTTCTAGGGAAATCATCCTCCAGAAATCTGCTTATCCTGTCTTGGTTATCAATATAGAAAAGTAAGACTTAGCTAGCTGTAAGGCACAGTGTTACATTTTTACTCCCTGATCAGCATGTTGGAAATGTCTGGGAGTATTCCAGAGGCTTAGCAGGGCTGTTGGCATGGCTTTTTGGGGATGCTAGAAGCAACAAAGATGCTTCCCAGATAATTGGAGCCCTTTCTCCTCTCCATGGAGTGTGGCCTTTGATGGGCCTATGCAGAGTTACTTTGTGCAACCTCTAACATGGTCCTTTGCCCAAGGTGAGTAACAAAGGTTCCTGATTCCGCTGAATCAAGGGTAAAGAATACAGCTTGCTTGCTTGCTTTCTTGAGTTGCTCTTGAGAGGCCGGCTGGGTCTAGGGGGTGAGTTAATATTTGCATAATTGAAATTCCAAGTCTACAATCCTTATGTAAATCCAGTAGTGTCTGATACACTCAAAAAATCAGAATCTTTGGGCCTTTAGAAAGGCAATCCAATGCATGATAGAATCTTTTACATATGTGAGGTCTAGGGCAGTGCTCTGCAATCAAATACATTATTTTTTAATAGAAAATACATGAATATTCAGTATAAAAATGGAATAGATGTAGTATAAATAGACTCACCTCCACTCAAGTCATGTTTGCCACAACATTACCTTTGAAAAGAAACCAACCTTTCAGTGTTTAGAGTATATTGGATTTGTGATTGACAATAAGGATTGTAGACCTACAGTTATTTTGATTTTGTACTTAATCAAATTGATCTGCAGGGGGTAGTTCACCTTGTGGATGACTCTTTCCTTGGAGGGGTTCTTTGATGAGGTATTGTATGGCTCATGGACTCCTGATGATGTTCTTTTTAAGTCCCTCTCTCCATTCTTCTTTCTCTTCCTCTTGGCAGGGATTTGAGCAACTAAGCTAAGGTATCTTCTTTTAGTATCTTGATTCTTCTAAAGGTACACTCTGAAAGAGTTGCCGAATAAAATATTAAAGAACATATATGTGCCAAGTCAACAAGTCCTTAATGCAGATAATCTATATTCATCAAAATGCTCAACCAGACAGGGACCCAGGTCAGTGATTGCTAAGCTGCACCATTCAATCACTGTAGGTAAAGGAGCTTTACAGACCTGAGTTGCATTCTTTGAGGCTCACTGTCTTCAATTCATGTAGTATTCCAACCTAAGATCAAGCCTGCAGCAAATTTGCTACCAGGAGTGTTTGAACATCTGGGGTCTCAGGCTTGTGGAGTCCAAGTTCTTAATGGGAGAACCTAGGAATATGCATGTTTAATAAGTTTTACTAAGAACTTTTTTACTTTACTTCTGGGTGGCATTTGAAAAAATTGCATAAGTGAAGACCAAACAGCACATTTTCAAAGGTTGTAACTGAGACTTAGATCACACCAAAAAGTGGGGATCTGATTGGTCGTGAAGGATAGGATTCTTTTTTTTTCTTTTTTTTTGGGGGGGGTCCGGTCGTGGGGCCTGAACTCTGGGCCTGGGCGCTGTCCCTCAGCTCTTCAGCTCCAGGCTAGCACTCTACCACTTGAGTCACAGTGCCACTTTCGGCTTTTTTCTTTTTGCTTATGTGGTGCTGAGGAATTGAACCCAGGGCCTCATGCATGCAAGACAAGGGCTCTACTACTGAGCCACCTTCCCAGCCCAAGGATAGGATTCTTTCTGTTTGCTTTTCTGAGCAGAGAATGCAACTGTCATAAACGACCCAGACATGCCCAGAAACAAAGAATTAGATGAAGGCGTGTGTGGTAGTAGGGGGATTGGTATCAGGTTATTAGTTTTGTAGGGTTGCTTGATAAAATATAAGACCAGGAGTGGGCATGGTTCATATGGTACAGCTTGCCTAACATGTACAAATTCCTGTGTTCAATCCCCAATATTACAAAAACAAACAAAACAAAAAACAACAGAGCCACTGGAATTCCAGACAAACATTGAACAAGTTTAAGTACGTAATACTGATACTTAAATATTCCATGCAACACTTAAGACTTACCAATACTAAATACTCTGGTTTATCTGACATCTATATTTAACTTGTATATTTTTTGTTAAAGTGTGCATTGTTGGGTATTGATAAATCCACTTACCCCCATGGGATGCAAACCAGGTGGCACTTGTGAGCATGCACTATGACTACAGTCTGTCTTTACCGCCTTTGGTTAACAGCATTTAAGGCTTTTATCATATTGAAGTTGAAGCATTGAAAATGAGTCTCTGTCTCTTTCTCCTCACACATGTATGTGTGTGCATGGATAAGCACAAACATCTACTTGTATTTTGGAAAACTGCTTGCTTGCTATTTACATTTTTTTAAAAATGGATTTTTAACTAATGCATAAAATATGAAAAATTTCCTTTTTTATGTTTTTGTTGAGAGTTTTGGTCCTTTTTTGTTTGTATGTTATTATTAAAGTAATGCTGTCTCACTAGTCAACCTTTGCTTCTCTTGCTAATAATTTTTTAATTCTTTCATTGCAGATCTTCCTTCTTGCCTGCCCCCCATGTCCAGGAGCTATCGTTGTTTTCAAGTAAGAGAAAATTGTATTTTGCTCTATTGCTAATGTTAACTGGGCTACTTTGCTTGATAACTATGGCTTATGTGCTGTGAACTTCTTAGGCTAATAACTTGTCTCTGGAGTTGCCCATGGCATAGGGAAATGCTGTATGTGGATGTGTGGCTTTTGGTAGGCCAATCTTTGTAGTTACATAGCCATGACATGCTCCCTTGGAAGGTTGCTGGGCTGTTCAAGATGCTCTGTAGAGTTGGAGACCAGACAGACAGCTTCCTTCCTCTGTAGAATCTGCTTGTGACCCTACTTCTCCCCTGGGCATATGGTTCTTCATGTTCAAGGGCTTTGTTCGGTGTCCTAATAGTTTCTCTTAAAGTGCAAATTAAAGTGAGGAAAGAAAAATATCACCTTATTACAAGTCCTGGCTTTCTCAAAAAATAGCAAGTTGTCGAATCCATTAAAGTGTATTGCAAGCAAATCTTGTTTCTCTGAAAGCAAGTTTACTTAAATGAAATTAGCAAGAGTCCCCAAACCCTCATTTTAACCATGAGTTGTGACCAACTCACTCATCAGACCTTTCATTAGAGCTGCTAATGAGAAGGTAAATCGGCTTAATTCATTTCATGTCTTTCTCCTTCGTGGGCCCCCCTTTTGGAGCTGTTCATAAGCAGGGAAATGGTGGCCAGCCACAGGGCAAGAACAGGAAGAAAAGCTCAGCAGCTCCTTGGATAATTGAGAGCAGTGCAAATGGCTTTCTGATTTACTTAAGTCATTAAAGTGTTAGGTAGGGGAAGAATACCCATTTACTGCTTCAAATAGCTCTTTGAAATAGCCACTTAGTCTCTTGCCTTAGGTGAGTAACTTTCCTGCTGGGTTGAGGGGTAATGGATCCTGACTTCATGTATTTCTTACTTGGACAGCTCCTAAGAGAAAGGGGATATATTTCAATTTGTTTCCCCCCTGACTTTTCAAAATGAACTCAATTATTTAGTGTAATGTTTTAAAAGTAACATTTATTGCTTTTATTTCATTATGTTGAAAGTAATGTTTATTGAAATAGAAAATATAGACACATAAGGAAGAAAATAAGCATCACTCCCAAGAGATAATTTTAGTTTATTGCCTTACTTTTTTAATAAGAAAGATCATATTGTATATGGAGGTTTTTAGTGTGTGATTTCTAAATTTATTGGCATATTTGTATACATGTATAAATATGGCTGCCAGATTTATTTGTGTGCCAGAACTAGGACTTGAACTCAGGGATGGGCACTATCCCTGATCTTTAACACTCAAGATGGGTGCTCTCCTACTTGAGCCACAGCTCCACTTCAGTCTTTTGCTGGTTAATTGGAGATGGGAATCTCATGGATTTTTCTGACTGGCTGACATTGAAACAGGATCCTTAGATCTTAGCCTCCAGAGTAGATAGGATTACAAGCAATAACCATACATTCCTGGCTAGATAATAGCTTTTTTATCTGTCATTGTTGTTATAGATATTTCCCCAAAATCCATATGTTTGGCTTTGCTGATAATATATTCTTACATTTTTATGTATTTTTTTTTGTTCCAGTCGCTAGGCTTGAACTCAAGGCTAAAGGCTAGTGCTCTACCACTTGAGCACCCTTGCCCCAGCAATAAGAATCTCATATTCTTTTCTGCTTGGGCTGGCTTCAAATAGTAGTCCTCAGATTTCAGCCTCCTGAGTAACTAGGATTATAGATGTGAGCCAGCAGTTCCCAGTTTATGGCTTTTTCTTATACACAGATGATTCTCTTTTTATAAAACTTCTGCAATGGGCTGAGAATGTGCCTTAGTGGTAGAGTGCTTGCCTAGCATGCATTAAGCCCTGGGCTCAATTTCTCAGTACATAAACAGAAAAAGCAGGAAGTGGTACTGTGGCTCAAGGGGTAGAGTGCTAGCCTTGAGCAAAAGAAGCTCAGGAACAGTCCCAGGCCCTCAGTTCAAGCCCCAGGACTAGATTTACATCCATTATTTTAAATTATTTCATAACTACCATTTGTAGTTCTTATTTTTCCTTCTTAACTGAACAGCTATCTTTGTTATTTCATGTTTTATATACTAGGGTTTATTTATTGATCATTCTCTTTTATCTATTTATGTGTATATGGTAAGTACACTGATTTGATGATAGTAGCTGAAAATATTTTTGTCCATTCTATGACATTTTCCCTATATTTCCCCATTAAGGTTCTAACTAGAATTACAATAAATTTATATTTTAGTTTTTAAGTAGTACAGGTCTTTTTATATAACATGCTATTTCTTTCCTTATCTTCTAATCTGATTTTATGACTTTAAATTAGTTAGGTCCTTTTCTTTTTACCTGCTCTATATCTTTTCGATGCATTTATTTCTCAAAAATTACCAGTCCTTTTTCTTGTTATGAGTAAAATATTTCTTCCCTTTCTATCACTAAGTGCTTTATGTTAGAATATAAAAAAGATTATTGATTTTAGAAATATTTGTTATATCTAACTACCTTATCAAATGTTCTCGCTTGTTCTGGTAATTTTTCCCCAATAGTTATACTAGGCATTTCTTTCTTTCTCCTCCCTCCCTTCCTGCCTCCTTCCCTCCCTCCTTTCCTCCCTGCCTGCCTGCCTGCCTTCCTGCCTTCCTTCCTTCCTTCTTTTCTCTTTCTTCTTCCTCTCTCTTTCATTCTCTCCTTTTTTATCTCCTTCTCCTCTTCCTCCTCTAATCTCTTCTTCTTCCTTCCTTTTCTTCCTCCTCCTCCTGCTCCTCCTCTTCTTTTTCCTCCTCCTTGCACTGGTGTTTGACCTTAGGACTTCATGCTTGTTGGTCAGGTGCACTACCACTGAAGCCAAATTTTCAGCCCATATTTAATTTTCTTGTTACATTTACTAGAAAATCAGGAAAACTTCAATGCCAGTGGCCTACTCTGCCTGATTTAAAATATAAATGTTGTTTATCTTTATAGTTGCTGTTGCTGTTTAATTTCTGCAATTACTGAAGAGATTTTTGTCTGGGTTTTAATTTTCTTTTAGATTGCTATTCATTCATTCATTTATGTAGTGATGACAATGGAACCTGTGGCTTCAATCTAATAGTTTCAGATACAATGAATTATGTTAATAGAGTTTCTTAATTTGAACTACTCTTACATTACTGGAATAATCCTGCTGATTGTAGTGTACTATTATTTTAGCATATTGCCAGTTTCTATTTGTAAACATTTTATTTGGAACTTAGCTTCTGTATTCATGAGTGACATTGCAGTCATTTTATATGCTTTTTCATCAGACTTGAGGATTAAAGTTATACACCACAAAATATTCCTTCTTTTTCTCTGCTTTGGAATATTTTAATTGCCCTTAGACAATATGAATCTTTTAAATATCCAACAAAGTTCACCTGTAAAGCCCATTTGGTCTTGGTGTCCTTTTTAGTGAATATACCAGACCCATAATTAACCTTTCAGTGTCTTCTATGGTTATCAATTTTTTCAAATCTTTTAGGTTATTTGTATTTGTTAGGAAAATTCTCACTTCTTTTGTGTTTAAATTTGTTGCCCTAAATTTAATAGAGTATGTAATGCCCTCTTATTTTAAAATAATCCGGTCTATTTTCGTGGTCGTTTAAGCTAGACTTTAATCCTTTTGGTCAACATATTATTGATATTTTTGGTCAGTACATAAAACATTGTTTTGGATTTTTACCTTCTCTATCGTATTTGTGTTTCCTATTATTTAATTTTATGCTTTTATCTTCATTGATTCCCTTGCCCTGTTTTCATAATCTCTCAAGATGAGTATTCCTTTAACCTTGTCCACTTTAGTCCTAGGTTTCAGTTGTCTTTTGTTCACTTACTGTGTTTTTTCGATTTTATTATGCACTCCACATCACTTTGAAATTTAGTACTTTGAGATAATTAGATATAATTATACAATGTGTGAAGCCTAGTACTGTATTGCAGTTGTACAAAAATACAGAGAAAGTCTGTGTGCCATTTATCTAGTTTCCTTCTATGCTAACCACTTGCAGAATTATAGTAAAGGACCCATGCCAGGAAATGAGCATTGATGTAATTTGATCTAAAGAACAGCTCCATCACCATAGCAATCCTTCATGTTCCTCTTTTATAGCAATACTCACCACCTCCCCCTTTACACTCCATCTCTGACCTCCTGCAGATACTAATCTGTTCTTTATCTCTGTAATTTTTTATTTCTTTTTTTTGATAATTTTTTATTTCAAGTATGTTATATAAATGTAACCATAAATCACATTTGGATTGTTTTTTGTCATAATTCCTTGAAGATTAATCAAAAGTTTTATAGTACACTCCCATTTTAAATGGGAGAATTTTATTCCACTTTGTGGAAATACTGTGTACAATATGAAGTTAAAAATGAATATTTTAGTTGAGCATAGGGTACATACTTGTTATCTTGGCACTTGGGAGGCTAGGCAGGAGGATTGCAAGGCCAGCTTGTCTACATAGTGAGACCGTGTCTTACACACACACACACACACACACACACACACACACACACACACACACACACACACACACACACACACACACACACACACACACACACACCAGATCATACAGTCAGGTGCTGGAGGCCTATAATACAAGCTATTCAAAAGACTAATATGAGAATCATGTTTTGAGGCCAACCTGGGCAGAAAAGTTTGTGAGACTCTGTCTCTAAAATAACCAAATACAGAGCTGGAAAGCAGGACTCAGGTGGAAGAGCATCAGCTGAGCAAGCAAGTTAAGCATGCGAGATGCCCTGAATTCAAACTATGTTGCTATCAAAAACCAAAAGCAGAAAATAAACCTTAATATTTTAGAAAGTAGACAGCTCAAAATAATAAATTTGCCTTATATTAGTATCTCTTTACTATTTCAAAATATACTGGCTTAAATTGCCCTTGTTTGATACTTAAAATAATGTTTTGAACAAGAAATACATTATAGTATACATTAGGCAATTGGGAGCCAAGAAATAATGAGTAACTGA